TGGATTAGCAAATGAGCCTTCTGTAATCCCTAATGTCTTATTGGGTAAAGGTAGTAATCAACAATGACAACCACAATTGGCACAAAGGTGGACTACATAAAATGAAGTATCTCTTGATGGTAACTCACAGCATCACTTATTGAGTAGTCTTGATAAAGAATAAAAATATCAAAAAAAAAAAAATTTAAACCTGAATCTCCTGATTGTGAGGGTTGGAAATGTAAAGGTAGACGTTTTGTAGCAAGGAGGGGAGTGATTAACTCTTCAGCCTAGGAGAGGAGGTCCCTGGGGCCATCAAGGGAGAAGAGCGGAGAACAGGACCCTACCCAGAGAAGCAGTGATGCCTGAGATGGAGGCAGAGACAGTGACGTGGAGAGATGGAGCAGTTGGGGACTTTAGACACAGAGAGGGAGGGGGCTATGTGTGGACAACTGGGAGGCAGGCTTATAGTGCATACTCTTTGGTTGGTTGATGATGCATAGAGGGGATTGTACCCATAACAATGAAACGATATACGATAGGATGAATGTAAAACTAATGTTCTCCCATGTAAACGATCACATAATTCACAATACAACACTAAAAAAAAACAAAAACAAAAAAAAACCTGAATCTCATCAAACTTCTAACTGCAAATTAAAGAAATACAGAGAGCATGGAAAGAGAGAACTAGATGGTGCACAATTACCACTCCTTATCATTTTGATACAATATTTCATAGAAAACAACAGTAGGGAAATGGAAACAGAATTTCACATTCTCATAGACGCCTGTCTTTCTAGAGCCTTGGAGGGTAGATGAACCCATGAAACAATTGCCCTGAGGTCTTTAAATCTTAAACCAAAAATATTCCCTGAAATTTTTAAATTGAAAAAATTTATCTTAACTCGTAAAGGTCTGTCTTGAGCATTGTGCTCTTTTAATAATACCTGTATAGCAACAGAGAAAAAAAGGAAGACCCTCCAAGAAATGAACTGAAAGAATGGCTGCAACAATGGGCTCAAAGATAGCAACACTTGTGAGGATGGCACATGACCAAGCCCTGTTTCATGACAGTTGAGTGGTGGATATAGAGATGGAAGGGCCAAGGTTTGAGGGGCCTGAAATTAAGTCAGGAGAGGGTAGTGGTCCAGGCCCTGTCAGGCTTCATGGCAACTAAGGGAGGATTAAGGGGACTTCCAACCCCAGACAGAGGCCTAGAGAAGTTCATGGCTGCTGTCAACCCCAGGTGACTCTTGCAGGACTGTCAAACAGACTCCGTTCTCTGCCTGCTTTCTCTGTGCCTCATGGAGATGAGGGCTGGATCCAGGAAGGGTTTCCAGATGCGGTTCCTGACTTGCGACTTGTTAGTCTGAGGGAGAGGAGGGTTCCTTTGAGGGGGCCATAGTCGGATCACCAGAGAGAGGGGTTCAGGCCCTTCCAAGGGGCAAGTGAGGACACTGAATGAGGACGAAGGTGACCATCGACACAAAGGGGACCCCACAGAAACCCACCCCGCTGTCAGTCAAGACCTTGAGGCTCCTCATAGGGGACTCAGAGGCACCGCCTTCCCTTCTCAAGGTCTCAAAAACGAAGCAAAGGGGTGACCGACCTTCTAGGAGCAAATAGGAAGGGGTCTGTGGAAAAGTCCCATTATCTTTACATTCAAGTTTTTCACAAGCTCTGTGAAGCACTTCGAATTCCAGTGCTGATACTACAGCACCACTCCAGGAGAAATACAAAGAGGCGTCAACAATTCCTGGAAAAAATCCTTTTGTCTTTTAATTCCAGTTTTCCACTCATATTTGAAGCCCCCTCATATACCTTGAGGAGAACTGTGGGTGACCCCCACCCCTGAGGTAGGGTTCATAGCCCCTCTCCGCTGCCCTTGCCACCAGCCTGGGAAACCTCAGGCGGGTCCCTGCGTGTGGTGGTGTAGGACTTGCTCCTTGTCAGTCGGAGGTCCGCCAGGTTTCCTCTGAGGGGGCTGTAGTCGGGTCAGGAGAGGGTCCAGGTCGTGCCACAGGGTGAGGTGGGGACCCCAAGGACAGACTGAAGTGACCTCCTACCCAGAGGGGACCCCACAGAATCCCGCCCCACTTCAGCCAGGGCTTGTGGGTTCCGGGCAGGGAACCGAGAGGTGCCACCTTCTCTTCTCTAGGGTTTCACGGAGACGGGGACCATGGGCTGAAGTCACAGGAGCAAGGTGGTTGTTGTAAAGGGTCCTGAAGTCGGTTCCGACTCATAGTGACCCTGTGTAGTGTTTCCCAGGAGTGGCTAGTGAGATTGAACCGCTAACCTTGTGGTTCAAACAGTCCTTGCGGTCCAGTGCTTATATCACAGCGCCACACCAGGCAAATAAAAAGAGACTTAAAGAATTCCTGGAAAAATTCCTTTTGTCTTTTAATTCCATTTTTCCACTCATTTTTGAGCCCCCTCGTATATATTGAGGAGTCCCGGTGTGGTGCTGTAGGGGCTCTGGATTGCAAAGTCGGTTTGAACCATGAAGTGGGCGGTTCACAAACTCACGAGCCATTCTTTGGAAACCTGTGCCGGGTTCCTATTGGTCAGAACTGACTCGTGGGCACTTAGCAACAATAACCAATAATAAGCCCTTAGGAGACCTTTGAGTGACCTCACCCTTCGGGAAGGTTCATAGCCCCGCCACGCCCCGCTGCCCCTGCTGCCAGCGTGGAAAGCCCCGGGCAGGGCCCTGTTCAAGGTGGTGCTGACCTTGCACCTTATCAGTCTGAGGAGGTGCTGCTGTTCCTAAGGGCCGGGAGTCTCATCAGAGGAGGAAAAGGTCCAGGCCCTGCCAGGGGGACAAGGTGAGGACTCTGATGGAGAATGGAGATGACCTGCCACCCAGTGGGGACCCCACAGAATCCCACCCCACTGTTAGTTCAGCTTTAGAGGCACTGGGCAGGGGGTGCACTGAGGCGCCACCTTCCTTCCTTCTGTGGGGTCTCCAAGAGGTGGGCGCCCTGGGCTGAGGGATACTGTCTCAGGTCAGCTACAGGCTGGAGACTTTCAGGAGGAAAACTCTGCAGGAGAGTGAAGATTTCCACGTTGTCCCTCCCTTCCCCCTGCCCCCTCCCCCACCAAAACCGAGTCTGCCCAGAATCATACTGTGCCCCTCCTGTTAGACCACTGGGGCGGCTTGCTTGATTTTGTGACTTTCTCTGAGAAGGCGGAGGGGTGAACGGGAATTTAGGACATTTGTCTTATGGGGTTGAACTCAAGTCAGATGAGAGAAGTGTCCCAGGTCCTGTCGGGAAGAGAGGGGAGGGGATTGGGGGAGGACAGAGACCCTCAGTACTGCTGGCGCCACCTCTCCTTCCTCTCCTCTGCTCCTCTAGCCCCTTCTGCCACCCCCACCCCCCATGTAGTGTTGTCTGACTTCTACCTTGGGCATCGGAGGGACATGCGGCTTCCTCCTAGAGGGCTGTAGTCAAGTCAGCAGGGGCAGGAGTCTAGGCCCTGACAGGGAGGGCTAGGTGAGGACTCTGGGGAGACCCCACAGAAATCCATCCTGCCTTCATGCTTTAGATGCTTTAGGGAATGCTCTGCCCTTCCTACCTTTGCAGGCCTTTCAAGGAGATGGGAGCCTTGGGCTCAGGGAAACTTCCTACGTCAAGAGAAGTGAAGGGGTTCAGTTCTTTCAGGAATAAATAGGATACCTTGGAAACACCTGAGGTCCCCTAACCTGTGATAGATGGTTTCTAGCTCTGTATTGTCCCTGTTGTCAGCTCTAGGAGGTGCCAGGAAAGGATGGCTATATATGACATAGCTTTACTTTTGTTTCATGGTCTCAGAACCATGAGGGACTTGACCTGAGAAGGCTCCCTTATATCAGTAAGGGGAGAAATCCCAGGCTCTATCATCATGAAGATAAAAACCTTTGCTTAAGACTGAAATTCCCCCCCTCCGTCCCCCTCTACTCCAGAAAATATAAGACTTCACAGAATCCAGCCGTTCTCTGTTCTTATCCTTACCTCTCTTACCTGACATGACTAAAGCCCCCTTAGACAAATGTCCTCATTTCACAGATCCTTGCAGGGGTAACCAGATAATGAATGGAGAACCCTCACTTCCACCTTGGACATGATAGGTCAAGTATCTCAGGAAGTTGAACACCTTGGTCTGAGAGGGTAAATTCAGAGAAACATAGGGGCAACCCAGACCTTGCAAGGAGAGAAAGTGAATATTCTGAGATAGAATTGAGGGTGCCCCAAACCACCACCACAGAACAGTTGCAATCTAGCCTCTACTGTCTTCCCTGGGAGACCCAGGCAGGAGTGACTGGATATCGTGCCTCTTTAAGAAGGTCTTAGGCTATCAGAGTGAAGATCCTGAGGGAAGAATCTCAGGATATATTGGAAGTCAATGGAAGAACTCTTGTTGAGGACTAAAGGTGCCCTCCCCACCACTGAACAGAATCTGGGTATCTTTTGTTCTAGTCCTAGGGAACCTGGGTGGCTGGATGTGGCGTGTCTTCAGTTTTGTCTTTGGCAGAGTAGGGCTAGTATTATGGGGAGGTTAGGCCTTGGTCTGAAGGAGCTACAATCAAATCTTCAGTGGACTGTTACAGACTCTGTCAAGAGTGAGGATGAATAACTGAGATAGGACTGAGAGTACTCTACATCACAGAACAGATTGGTACAGGCACTACTATCTATCCTGGGAGGCCCTGGAACATGGTGGATTAAGACCTTACTTCCTTCTTTGTTGTCTCATGGAAATGAGGTCTTGGTTTATGGAGGGTGACCGCAAGTCAAGAGCGAGAGCTGAGTCCTAAGCCCTGCCAGATACTAAGGTGAGGACTGACATGAGCCCCCATTCTAGGAGAGAGGAACCCCCCACAGGGTTCAGCTAGCACTTTCTGTCATCTCTGAAACCCCCAAGCAGGTAAGGCCAGAGAGAGTTCCTCCTTTCATCCTTCTTGTTGATATTAGGAGTGTGAACTCTTGTTTTGAGAATTTTGCCTCAGGTCAGAAGAGGATTGGGGCCCAAGCTCTATCATGGGGAAGGTAAAGACCCTGAGTGAACACTGAGGGAACCACGTACCCCTGAACAGTGGAGACTCCAGACAGTGCAGAGTCCAGCCCTGCAGCTTCTGCCATTGCTAGAAGGCCCAGACTGTGCTTGCAGTCTACAGCCTGAGATGTTCCCTTAATTCTTCTAACAGGGGCTTAAGGAACCAGAAGGTGAGGGCGTTGGTCACAAAGTTCTTCAGCTCATAAGAGTAGAAGTGATCCAGGCACAGCCGGGAGTCAAGGTAAGAACCCTACACCAGAACAGAGGGGATCTCACAATACCAGACCTTACCTGCCCTACTTTCAATCTTGGGTTGTGTCAGTCAGCTGTACTCTGAGGAGCTGTCTCACTTCTTCCTTCAGGTACTTCAAGGACAGATCAACCAGGAGACGGGAGGCCTTAGAGAAAATCACAGTAAGTTGACCTTTATAAGAGATATCAAAGTTGGGTTTCTTAGCTGAGGCTGCTCACACTTTCCTTCTCCTTACTAGGTCTGCAGATTCCCATATCCCATACCACTACTCAAATTCCTGCCTTCTACTCTCAACAGGAGTCATCATGTCTCAGGCTACAAAGCATCAGTGCCACACACTTGAGGAAGATCTTCAGGCCCAAAATGAGGCCCAGGGCTCAGTGAATGCACAGGTTCCAGCAGCTGAGGAATCCTTTACCCCTTTCACATTTTCCTTCCACTCTTCCTTTTCCAGTTCTTTCTCTTCCTCATCCCCTTCTGCCTTAGAGGCCTTCGTTCCCTCTTCCCCCTGCTCTTCATCTTCTTCTTTTCACTTCTCCTACCCCTCCACTTCACCCTCCTCATCTCCTCTGAACCTGAGCATCCAGGATAAGGAAGAGTCCTTAGGTGATATGATACTGAGTACTCCTCAGAGTCCTCAGAGATCAACTTCATTGAGCACTTCAGCAAGCACCAAGTCCTCACTCAGAGATCCACTAGAGAAGAAGGTGACTGATCTGGTGCATCTTCTGCTTGTCAAGTATCAAATGAGACAGCCCATCACAAAGGCAGAAATGTTGGATGTTATCATCACAAGGTCCAAGAAACAATTCACTGTAATCTTCAATAAAGCCTATGAGTTCCTGGAGATGGTCTTTGGCATTAACATGAAGGAAGTCGACCCCACCATCCATTCCTATGTCCTTGTCAGCTCACTGGATCTCACGTATGATAAGGTAGTGAATAGTGGTCAAAGCATCCCCAAAAATGGCCTCCTGATAATTATACTGGGTGTGATCTTCCTGGAGGGTAACAGCATCCCTGAGGAAGATATCTGGGAAATGCTGAATATTATGGGGGTCTATGCTGGGAGGGAACATGTCATATATGGGGAGCCCAGGCAGGTAATCACCAAAGATTGGGTGCAGGAAAAATACCTGGAGTACCGGCAGGTGCCCAATAGCGATCCTACCCACTATGAATTCCTGTGGGGTCCAAGATCCCATGTAGAAATTAGCAAGATCAAAGTCCTAGAATTTTTGGCAAAGCTTAATGGAGTCAACCCCAGTTCGTTCTCACCCCGGTATGAAGAGGCTTTGAGAGATAAGGAAGAGAGAGCTCATGCCAGCATTGACCTCACAGGTAGTAGTACTGATATGCTCATTGCTCAATGTTGGCCAACAGCCACCCTTGCCCCCAAGGAAGATTAAGGCAGATTCTTCATTCTGTTAGAAAAGGGCAGTCAGTGTTCTAAATAATGAAGGGCCAGGGTAGGGCTAGGGTAACACCCTGTGAAACATCCCTGTCTTCCTTTTCTATCTGAGTAATTTGGAGATTTTATCTCAGGTATTTCATTTTGCTAGTTTTCAAATGCTATTCCTTTTAACGGCAATTTTAATTAACTCATAATCTAAGTTTATGAATTGACATTAGTCACACATTTGTTGTTGTTTAAAAGTAAGAGTTTTGCTGTATTGCAAAACAAGTTGTGAAACTTCCTGTTGTTTTGTCTTCTGTAACAAGTTAACATGGAATTGGAATAGGAATTTCCTTAGACGCATAAACTTCACTCAGAAATAAAGAAAGAAAAGAAAGGATGATTAACTTTGAGTTCTTTTGCCACTTTTCATCTGTGATTCTCTAAAGTTATATATTATGTGTATTAACTGGAATTTGCTTGGTTTATTCATGAATGTAGATAAAATTAAATCTTAATAAATGAAAGAAACTGCTATGGGCTCATTTATTTCCAAAACATTAATTGAGCATCTGCTCAGGGTGGGGGTGGGGGAAAGCATGGTGTTAGTGGGGCAATCCTAGGATAAGCAAGATGCACCCTCACCCATAAAATGCTAATATAAATTAGCAAGATGGTGAGACATCCTCTAAGACATTAAAAAAAAAAAAAATAAGATGTTACCAAGTGGGACTCCACATGAGAGCACAAGCTTTTTGATTTTAAATTAGCTTGTGGTGGTGGTGGTTAAGTATTGTCAAGTCGATTCTGACTCATAGGAACCCTGTATGTGGCTTTCTGACGCTATCAATCTTTGCAGGAGCAGAAAGCCTTATTTTTCTCCCATGGAGCAACTGGTGAGCTCGAACCAACAACCTTGTGGTTTGCAATTCAGTGTTTAATGGATAAGTACAGTATTTATTGGAGCACTTCAGATGAAGACTCCAGTGGCCCCAAAGAAGGAAGTCCAAGCATCTTGCAGACTTCAGCAAGCACTAAGTCCCTGCTCCGCAAAGCTTGTGGTAGCAGAAGCAGTAATGTCAGATGGTATTTCTTACAGTTGAGAGAAAAGGCCTGGGAAGTAGTGCAGAGGGCTGTGAACCACAAGGTCAGCAGTTCGAAACTACCAGCTGTTCCGCAGGAGAAAGATGAAGCTTTCTGCTCCTGTAAAGATTTACAGCCTCAGAAACCCTGTACAGGGTCGCTAGGAGTCGGAACCGGCTCCAAAACACATAACAACAACAACAACAACATCATGCTGATGCACCTGCTCATTCTTCAAGAGTAGCAAGGGCTGTCCTACAAAAACCTCATTAGGAAATATCACCCCATCTATTCTACAGCCCTGATCTTTTTGTTACCCAAACTCAAAGAATATTGAAAAGGAACTCAATCTGATTCCTTCAATGATGCCAAAATTGCTGTTTTGCTGCAGTATAGATCAAAGAGCCCAGGGATTTCCTGAGGAATATGGGTGAAACTCCTGTGAAGTGATGCCCACAAGTCACTAAGCTAGCACACTTCCTCACATTAGAGAACACAACCCACCCATTACATTAAAAGGACATTCTAAATGTGTAATTTGGCCAACTCTGATCAGGCAGTGTTTCGTTCTGTTGTGCCATAAGGTCACTATGAGTCAGTACCAACTTGATGGCACCTAACAACAACAACAAAGCAAGGCCTGAGGAACCCTGGTGGCATAGTGGGTTATGTGTAGGGCCACTGTTAAATTAGTTATTTTTTGTTTTGTTTTTAAGCAAAATCTTCACTTTTTTTAAGAAAATAAAAATAGTGCTTCAGATAAAAGGGCATTTGGGCTTTGCTTTCGGTGGCAGGTCTGGGGAAGGGGTGGCAGGCGCCATTTTGGGCCACAAAGTTGTCAAGAAGCCCCGAAACAACCCAAGAAACAGAACAAGGAAATGGACAAGTAAAATAAGGCTTTCAAGCAGAAACAAAAAAGAAGAGAAGAAGGAAGTAGAAAAGAAGAAAAAAATAGAATGCCGCAAGGAAAGGCCCTCTGGCCACAGGTGGATTTAAGAAATCTGGCAAAAAAAAAAAAAAAAAAAGCTGTTCTTTGTGACCCTTGATTCCATTTCTGTTTAAACATTTGAATTCCCTGCTAGAACATCTCTTGCCACCTATAGTTAGATTGATGTGATGTCTTGGAAGCCTGTTGCACATTTAAGAATAAATGTTACTTGAAAAAGAAGAAGAAGGGGGTGGAAGAACAAGGTAGATAGGGGAACATTGAGACAGGTTTGCATGGGCTAAATGGGACAGAGGTAAATAGTGATGCATGTTCAACCTTGGAATAACAGGGCTCTGTGATACAGAAATCTAGGCATAGCTTGAAGAGGGGAAATATGCTTGACTAAAATGCTTGACTGTCTTATGATATTGGTTTCCCTTGCCTACTATTGTAAAATAGACACTTGAGTGGGATAGAAAGGAATGTTGGGAAACATGATTAGAGAAAACTTGGAAGCCCGTCTTCAACCTATAACTGATTGGAAAACTTAAAAGGGGTTCTAGAACTTGTCCAGTGAAACAGGCCTCTTGTGGAACCTTTGCAGAGTATAGGACCTTAGGTGGAATCCTGAGTCTCACCCACTAGAAAGGACAAGCAGACCAGTCCGGAACAGCTAGAGCATCAGAAGATGCATTTTCAAAGAAGGATCATCAGGAAATACCCAAAACAAAAACAGCAGTATGATTGGTTACTACAAGAATAAGCAAGTGGTTCGCCAGGAAGCCATCAAGGCAAGCAATCAAGTCCCTACAGGACAAACCCCCCTCTAAGACTGAGCAGGCATGTAAGCTTGCTGGTGACCACATTGGTCTTACTGGGGAGTAGAAGAGGGGGAATGGCAGCAATGAAGAAATGGGCTGAGTTCAACCACACTTTTTGGAGGCATTAAAGCTAAGAGGCATTAAAGCTGTAATTATTGCTCTGACTTATCTTTAAGTCTTAAACCAAAAATATCTTATAAATTTTCTTAAAACCAAACAAAGTTGTTGTTAAGTGACTTTGAGTCAGTTCGGACTCAGTGACCTTATGCACAACAGAGTGAAACACTACCCTGTCATGCACCATCCTCACAATTGTAGTTACTCTTGAGCCCATTGCTACTGTCACTGTGCAATCCATCTGGTTGGGGTTCTTCCTCTTTTGTACTGACCCTCTACTTTACCAAGCTTGATGTCCTTCTCCAGGGACTGTAACCTCCTAATAACATATCTGAAGTATGAGAAGCAAAGTCTCACCATAGTGGCCTCTTAGGAGCACTCTGGCTGTACGTCTTCTAAAACAGACCTATTTGGTCTTCTGGCAGTCCATGGGACTTTCAATATTCTTCTCCAGCACCATAACTCATATGCATCAATTATTCTACAGTCTTCCTTATTCCTTATCAAATGTTGGCATGCATATGAGGCTACTAAAAATGCCATGGCTTGGGTCAGGAGCACCTTATTCCTCAAACTGATATCTTTGCTCTTGAACACTTAAAAGAGATCATGTGCAGTTTATCTTAAATAGTAAAGAATGTCTGCTTTGAGCACTGTACCCTTTCAAGACTTACGTATATGGGGTCAAAATGACAACAGCAACTTAAAGATTACATAGGAAACGGCGTCAATAAGCTTTTGTTAATGGAAGAGAAACAACTCAGAAAATGAACGCTAGAATGATTTCAAAACTTAGAGTCTGTAATCCATGACAATGAATTGTGCACATAGAAACTGTTGCTTTTTTTTTTTTTAACGTTATGCTATTGATATTCTCAAGAAAAAAAAATCAATATGTATTTTTAAAGTTGACTTTGAACAATATTTGTACTATCTCCCCTGGATAACTTCAAAACATTCTTAAAGTACTTTTCAAATGTGCTGGTGATTAATTATAATTTGGCCCATAATCTACTGTTGTTTTTCAAACTCATAGCAACCCTGTATAGGGTGTCCAAGAACCAGTTGGTGGGTTTGAACTACCAGTCTTGTGGTTTGCAGTCCAGTGCTAATCCCACAGTGCCACAACACTAGTTCTTGGAACGTAAGGCTAAATTTGATAGAGGATTTATTTTAACCATTTTGATGTTTTCAATGTGATTTTAATGGAATATCTTATTTGAAACTATCATTGAACATTTGGAGTCTTCGTGTGGTGCTGTGGGTTAAGCACTGGACTGCTAACCACAAGTTTAATGCTTCAAACTCATCCAACTACTCCTTGGAAACCCTATACAGGGTTACTATGAGTCAGAAGCTATTCCATAGCAGTTAACAACAACAAAAACAATTGAACATATAAATAGATTAATGAGTTTACCTAGTTGGCCACAAGGAATCCTGGTGTGGTGCTGTTGGACAAGCCCTGTATTGTGAAGCACAAGGTTGATGGTTCATGCCCACCAGTCACTCTTTGGATACCCTATACAGGGTCACTGTGAATCAGAACTGACTCAACAGCACTTAGCAACAACAGTTGTCACAAAAAAACAACTTCTCCATAAATCCAACCAGCATCTGTTGTTAGCTGTAGTCAAGTCACTCCTGACTCTTGGTGAACTTGGGTTCCATAAAGTTTTCAAGATGGTGATATTTTGGAAGCAAATTGCCAGGCCTTTCCTCCTAGGTGCCTCTATTTGGTTTCTAACTGCCAACCTTTCAGTTAGTAGTCAGGAGTTTAACCAATTGCACCACCCAGGGATAAGCAAACACCTAACCTATTGCCATCGATTTGATTCGAACTCATAGTGACCCTGTATTGCATTTCCATGGTTGTAAATCTTTATGGGAACAGCAAGCCTCATCTTTCCCATGCAGAGCAAGCAACTGGTGGTGCTGAACTTATGGTTGGCAGTCCAGTGCTTATCCTACAGCACCATCAAGGTTCCATTTTCTTGCATTAAAGTCAGGCTGACCCCTGGTGTAGCACTGTAGGATAAGCGCTGGCAGCTAACCACAAGATAA